CCCCCCCCCCCCCGCCGCCTTGTCAACAGGGATAAATCAGTACCATAGACATAGATGGAGATGGAAGTGGGAGATCGAGGAGATTGTAGTAGTGGACCAGTACACATACCTCGGAGAAATGATCGCAAAAGACTGCTCGTGGAATGCACACATGTCCAAGGTAGCGGAAAAGGGCAAAGCACGAGCAGGGAAGCTGTACCCAACACTCGCAAACCGGCACCTCGATACACGCATCAAATTGGCGGTTTTGAAGAGCGTTTAGTCGCAAAAGAAACTGAAACCGTCCAAATAGTCGTCACCCTTCTGACTCCAATGTTCATCGCACACGTGAGATCTGCTGAACACTGGTGTATGTCCGGTAATAGACCCACCATTGCATCTCCAAAACAATCTTTACAGGTAATCCAACACACGTATGCACAATTGTGGTCCGGTGTTATCCGTTTGTATGTCGGGTGCTAATTTCGCACAGTACGTCTAACGGTAGTATCCGCAAAGCCAGCCAGTCGCTCCTCTGCCGTCTGCCGTCTACCGTTTGCTGTCATATGCCTTTCTCTTGCTCCGCTAGGCTCGTTGCTCCGTGCTGTCTGCACTTGTATGCAAAAATCAGAAACACGAGCATAAAACACGCAGAGGAACTTACACGCAGCATACAAGGACGCGGGATCTCACTCACGTACTCAAATCACACGGGCGGTGTGCATCCATCGTTCGCAGCTCGATACCTCCGGCAATAACATCTTCGGGATAGTCTGCGCAGAATCAGTCACCTCGAGGTCTTCTGCTCTCTCTCTATGTCCCTCATACCGCGGGCCGCAGTTGTGTCCCGGTAGCTGTTAGTATTGACCAAGCGCACAGTCACACGCGCAGACTGTGTGGACTGAACTCATTTTATGTGCGTCCAATGGATCATTGCTACCATTTCAGGTATTAGTTATTTTGTCACATAACGACGGGCCATGGCTACGGTATGTCAGTTTATTTTTTCTCCTTTTGCGAGTGGAGAATTTCGGGTTTGTGCTCTGTACATGTTGGCTTGGTCCATGCGAGCACAAACTATCAGTTGCTGTCTCGTGGCGAGTGAATGTTCTGTTTTCGCCCGCCACTGGACCAAACCGTTTCCGGTGCTTTTCTGCGTCTTGGTTTCCACGCGAGAGGCCATCATCTCAGTTGTGTCGGTCAACGTCTGCAGAGTGAACGTTTTCACCGTTGTGACTTCTTTATCCCAAGGGGCACCGTCTACATCGTCGAATACGGGCATTCGTTCACTCCCAGCGCCGTAGGAAGAACGGCTTTCCTCACGTATCCCAAACACTGTCTTCACGCCCACGTAAGGAAAAGGTCGCTCTCCCTTCGTCACACACATCACTCTCATTGGAGGGAGTCTTTCCTACGGTTACGCGCATGCATGTCAACGTGAGCCGCGAATTGACAATTTTCTGGGCATTACATTGATGAGCGTTGCGACTTACGCCGCCTAGCCGCTTGTGGTTTCCATTGCTTGTGCTGTCCCGCAGATGGCCGTCGACATCAACGAGCTTCTCCTTCTAGAGGCCGAGCTGAAGACCTCACGTGAGCGTGAAACATTACCTATTAGTCTAGATGCCAAGTTGAATATCCTCAAGTACCTTCAAGTACAGACGGTAATTTAAAGCAGAGTACAACGATTTGTACTACGAGCTCAACAAGACAGGGCCTGCGCAGCATCGCCCCTGTTCGATCGAAGGGGCTCTTCCAGTCCAAGGTCTTGGATGTACAGGACTGCGGCGAGGACGAGAAACTTGAACCACAGCTACAGTTCTCTCTTGCAGAGGCTGACCTTGCAAAGCCGCGTTTGGACGAGCTGGTTGCGAAGGTTGCACAGGACTCGAGCAAGTACGAGGTTCAATGCGTGGACGTCAAGTCTCGGGAAAGTACACAACGGAAGGCCAGCAGATTCTGGGATGGGGGCGTCCGAAAGGTTGCTGACATGGCTAGGGTGACTGTAATCTGCGCCACACCGGAGGCCCTGGAAGAGGTGTACTTGGCTATCATCATGGCATTGCCCAAGGCGAGTAGGACATGCAGATTTCCCGTCAACCCGCAATATTGGAATCGTGCCGTACTCATTATGTGCTGTTTGTCATGAAATCGATGCTTGAGACAACTTTGGAAAATCACAAGGGTCTTGTTTTGCTTGCTTCGTTATACGCACAAGTAGGATCGTTGTTTTTGTTTTTCCTTCAGGTTTGGTTTGCTCTAAAATCCTAACGTTGCCAACCATAATGTTTTCTTTGGCAGTGGTGAGGTTTTCCCCAGCAATCGTACTCCCTGCTTTTGGCGAAACGGGACCTTTATTTTTCCCGATGCCCCCATATGACTAGCGGCACCAAACATCTCCGGTCCTCCAAGACCGACTGCTCATTCTCCACGTTGCTGAGAAGTATCGCAGCAGGCGCTGTCAATCGATTCCCAACCTCCGACGATACCTGCGGGAAAGGGTCTCACATTCCGAGAAATAAAGTAACGAAGGATTGCACCCGGGACTTCCGCTGAACCAATGCATATATGGTTGGAGATCGACCCGATGCGCACGCCCCTTGCGTAGCTGAGATTAACGCCCCATGCGTACCTCCAACATTTTTGTAGTAGTTGCTCCCAGCGAAGCCGCCATCACTATTGGAGCCGCAATACGCGATGATGCTGAGCGCATTGGCCATGAAATAGAATACTGATTGCTGCGAGGTATTTCCCAGACAAGTATTGAAATCGATGTTGCCAACGTGGCCTCGGTAGGGCTGCACATCCTCAGTGACATGAAAAACAACCCCTGGTGGTATGGAGGGCACACGGAATGCTGATGAACCAGCCCCGCGGTTAAGCGTGGATATACGAGTTTGGACTCCTCGGTGTGCTCGAGCTCTCCTTGTGAATGTTGGTATGCTCAACAATTTGGGCGCCTGTGCGACGCAAGCTCGCCATGAGGCATCTTGTGTGCGCTCGTGAGCAGCTTAAAAACATGATATGACTAGACCAATCATCCCCACTTTTGAATGGAGACCTGTCATGGGAGGCTCTACTTCGACGCTTCCTGAGACCATATCGATTTTAATAAAATGAAATGGTGTTGCCCCCAAAGCTACCTACGCAACATTGTTTGTCACCTCCCATGGATGAGAGCAGTACTCAATCTCAATACTCTGAAGCCCGATAGGGAACTCAGTGTCTGTTGCCGAAATTCTCACACCAATATTCGAAATTGACCCCACTTTCTCCGTCCCAAAACATCCGTCCCCGAAAATCCGACCCCACCCTCCTGTTTTCACTTGGTTTTAGAGTAGGCAATCTCCGGTTCCCTCTCTAGAAGCAAATTGCTTTCTTCGGTCAATGCTGCTCGAGATTCCATTGACAAATTTTCCTGTGGTTTGGAAGAGGTGTCCTTCCTGGCCCCATCCGCCCCTCCTGCAAGTTTGGTGCAAAAGCTTGTGTCAGTTTTTGAGGACGCGTCCGGTGTTTCATGTCTTATTCGTAGATCTCCCCCATGCAAACAACCCATACGCACACCCCCACTTCTCTTTTATACCCCCACAGGGAATCAAATACGCCGCACCCCACACGACGACACATACACACAGGGCAACTCGTTTCGTTGCGCCGTTTTGTAAGACAGACATGCCGTTTTAGCCGCAATCGAATGCGTGGGATACAGCTCCCGAGACCAATTCGTGGGCAGTGCTCACAATGCGTGTGACAAAGCAGTGCTCACACAAGACACCTGGTCTCACAACCACTCCAACCTCCTCGAGAATGTGCACCAAGCAGTGAGAACAAAAGGTTGGACAAATGAACTTGTGCGCCCTCTTGGTATCCTTCCAGACAAGTGCAGCTGTTGACCACACCCAACATTTTTTTACGGGAAAACGTCCAGGCATCATACATGAAACTGCAGTACACACGGTCGACAATACTGGACGCACAACATATCATAACAGTACACAAGAGCCGGAACACAAATGTACTCAGGACGACTTCCTGCAGTAGACACTCCATACACATGCAGGGCAACTACGCCGTTAAACGCTTCGCCGTTGAAGATTGCACAAGGTTGCACATGTCTTGGTCTCCTTCCAGGCTGCGGACCACACGCACTCGCCGGAATATTCCGGTCTGTTCCAAGGTTCGAATTACAGATGATTGCAGCCAGCAGACCACTGGTCATCGTGACCTACAACTCAGAAAAAAATGCAGGGCAACTTGTAGTATAATTAGCAAGTTTGGTGAGGCAGATATAGCCGATGTAGACTACTGTTTATTGAAACGGTCGAATTTGCCAGAGGCGTTATTGTTCCTGTATTTCGGGGTATCAGGTTGAGAAGAGTCCTTTTGGGATGGTCACTTTATCGGAGAGTTCACGTGCAGGAGAAGGCTCGCTGGACAGCGTGGAATAGCAGATTTATACAACAGCAGTACGTGAACTCAGAGAGGGATAGCAAGGATTGGCCAGATTGGGAGGCCAAGAAGTTGCGT